GCTACGCAGCCCTGGAAAAGTCTTCCTAGGGGGCTATCCATAACCGACTGCTGAGAATCGTGTTGGTTTCCTCGGTTTCGTTACCTGAACGGCAGACTCGGTAACCAGCAAGGGCGTAAAGATGGGCGCATCTCCGACACTCGGTGGTGCCCTCGTGACCTCTGCGATCCTCTTGTCGTATGACCCTTATGATATTGGTAAAAACCGCGATGGGCTCCTCCTGACATGCTCCAAACACTCAGCAGCAGGCCATCCGTTTTCACCAATACGTCTTCGCCCAGGGGTGAAAATGTTTCTCCTTAAAGTCCCTCAAATGCCATTCAGCTCTAGAATTTTCGAAAAATGCCTTAAGATTTTTTCACTGTCGGTCCTTTTTACCCAGTTTTATTTACTGGCAACGCCACTCTTATGCAATGTTCTGCGTAACCAATGCACTTTATAGCTGGTATGTACCAATAGGAAATTCAAAGCTATTTACCTATATTTCTCTTTATTAACCTGACCTGACCCCACGTATTTTGAATTAAATGACTGACATGCAGTAAACAGTCCATGAGGTAGGTTACTCAAAGTATGAACACGACACTAATGGGCGGTTTTTGGACAGCTGCAGAATTTTTTTGGCAAACGGTATCAATACAAGGGCATAAAACCTTCATGTCTACGTGCGGTTGCTGATGTTCCCTTAAATATGATTCGATAAAGTGCCGTTTGCAGTAGACCAAATATATTTTCCCCTCAAATACCATGAACATGAAACTGTTTGTCTATCCTGCCTGCGCTCTTTTATATCACAGACCAGAGCCTCTGGATGACAGGAGTTCCGACATGACCGATGTCAGCTCCAACAACCACCCGTCCTTCGATCCGTTCAAATGCACCACCATAACATTCTCTGATCAAGTAAAATTATTTGTTGGTCGGCTGCACCCAAAGACTACGGAATCCGACCTCACAACTTACTTCTCCCAGTTTGGATCTGTCGAAGATGCTCAAATTATAACCAATAAGAAAAATACCTCAAAAGGCAACTTCGGTTTCATCACCTTTGCAGAAATTCGAACCATCAACCGAGATGTTCTAAATACCTACCACTTCCTCCATGGCCGAATGCTCGACGTTCAGATTGCAACAACCCCTGGTCAGTCGCGTTTCACTAGAGCAAATCCATCCATTCACTTACATTCGTAGATGATCACTGTTGGCCAACTTAATGTTTAGATCATGATTTATATTTTCTTACTCTCAACGGTTCCAGTTCTACTTCCGATTCCGTATTCTATCATTATGCTCTGTTTGCACTCCCAATGAACACGACTGTTGGTTAAGGTGCTTGTAGGCTTTTTGGCTTGCACACCAACGGAATAAACTCCAAAC